CCTGAGACTGTCTCTGGGAGAAGGGGGTGATGGGGGTGGCTAAAGGGGGGACCCCTTTAAAATCTTGAGTTGGAAAGCTTTCACCCCAAGTCCTGTTTAGAACGCCTACATCCAGCTTTCTCTTAATAAAGATGCCTGTTGGAAGAAATATTCCAGGAGTTCTGTCTTCTTAAGATGCAAAGTGGGGTAGGTCCTTACAATCTATCATATGCTGTCTATCAGGTTAGATCCATGTAATTTGAACCCATATCTTTTGGATGAAACTCCTATGGGAATATTTATTATTATAAAGTGAGATACTGAAGTGCAGGCAGGCAAAAAAAAATCTTAAGACTTCTGTGACTATATTAAATAAGAATTATTCAGAAAATTAATTAAGAGTGATATCATGTGGTCTGATCAGTTTTGGAAATATAATAACAATGAACTGCAATAAGAACTTATTTTAAAGGATAATGTCATTCTCTTTCATAAACCTTTTATGATTTATAGAAAATCTTTTATGTATTCCTATGAAATCCTAGAACCAAATGATCTACCATATCATGATGAAACGTGCCTATGCAAAAATCTTTAAACTGCTAAGTAATATGACTTAATTTGGCTTCCATTGACTTTATGCACAAGGTGCTTCCAGACAGCTAGTAGAACTATCAATCAAAAGCTACATGTAACTTTTTTTTAACTAAATACAGTACTGCACTTTGGAAAGAAAAACAATGGAGAGGTTGATGTGAAAAGACAGATTAAGTGGAGTGTGCCTCAGGATCCTTTTTACAAGTCAATGAATAAGGCTGAATGATTATGTAAAAGCTCCATCTAGAACGGGTGTCAAACGGTTTCATCATACCAAAGCTATGCCCACCCCATTGCCAGCAATGCAAAGAGTCGCGATACGTCGTAACACATCACATGACATGGCGAGTTTGACACCTGTGATCTAGAACAAGCATTATTGAACCTCATAAAAATAATGTTCAAATTTACCAAGATTGTGTAAAAATAATCACATTTTGTTTACTTAGGATTCTGTCTTAACAATAATTGTGGAAATAGATCTGAATGTACCTTTGAGTAGTCTTCGCTTCTGGTGACTTACAAGTGCCCACTACGTTTTTGGAAGTGGCTACCATTGCCTTTTTCCAAGGGCTGAGACAGGGTGACTTCACCAAGTTATTCAGCTGGCTTCATGCCTAATGTAGGACTGGAAGTCATGACTTTGTGGTTTCTAGCCCAGTACTTTAACTACTCACCCTCTTACATATAACTCCCTTATGACCCTATAATCCCTTAATTTGGGATAGAGTTGGGGCGACTGGTTGGAGCTGAGCGTTTGCTGGCTGGAAGGGTATATAAACGCTCGTATATATAAACTTTGAAAATTATTAGCAAGAAATGCTTTGGATCTCAAGCAAATGCTACATATTACCTCTCTGCTATTCATTTAAACTGCTCCAGGCTTTTTCTAGTTTTGAGACAAACCTGAAAAACCACTGTTTTAAAGATTATATTAATTTTAATGAATGGATAGTTTTAACCAGTAGCACTTTTTAAAAGGCTCCTATGGAAATCAGAAAAAAGTCAGACTGCTCTAATAGAAAGAAGCTGCTATGTTGTACATCTACAAGTCTGAAGCACTTCTGAGTTATTTTCATATGTGCTTAATATGGATGTGTGTTTACTTATTTATTTCAGGAATAAAAATTATGTTGCTTTACAATGATTCTTGTTGAAACAATATAACACTGTTTTCTTGCTAAGTTAAAAACTGAACATAGGAGGCTCTGTTTGGTATCTGCAAAATACTTTCTGTATTCAATTATAAAATATTACAAAGTACTCAATTTGGCTTTTCATTCTGACCAGTTTGCACATCGTCTTCTTCCAGCTTTTTGTATTTGTCTGTGTTTCAATTAAAATTCAGTTTGCCTAGCAGTTTCAGTTTCAATTAAAATTCATTTTCCCTATACATAGGGATACATTTGTAAATTCTATTTTTTTCTAGTTTAAAGTATGACTCTATTAGTGATTTGAAGGATATTCATATATTATTTGTTTTTTGGACCAAAAATAATCACATCACAGGACCTGTTCATTCCAGTATGTTACTCAAGGATATATATATATATATATTTGAGAAAAGGGAATATTTTAGACATAGGCTTCATTCCATAGGATGTATCCCATAAGGCTCTAAAACAGAATTAATTATTTATGCTGTCTGCAACAGTAATAAAGATTTGATCTGAAGTAACCATTATTTCACATTAAAACTCTTATCCAATGTGTAATTTTAATTAAATTTGATGGAATTTAAGTTTCAAGCAAACATGTTTTCAGTGGCAAACTTACTTTAATTTCTATAAGATGATTTGATTATAAATTGTATTTTAAAAGTTTCTTGAAATAATTGCAGAGGTAAAACAAAACAGGCTTGTAGAACCTGTTATTTGATGGATTTATTATGGCAAATTATAATAATTAAAATGCAGTTTTGTGGTACCTTTGTCACTTGACAACTTAAAACCGTGCAAATGAAGCAACAAATCGTTTTCAGTGGAACTTCTTTCCGAGTAGTTTATGCAATTAATGGTTTGAGGCTTAACAAATCCCAAAACTAATTATTTAGAGGGGAAGGCGCAAGACAAGCTGTCCATTTATCCTGGAATTCTGTTTATTTTATTATTAGATCAACCTTCATGGGTTATTTTACGTAAACAAGGAAGGGATTTCCCCATCTTATATCCGTGTTCATAGCCATACCAAGGGGAGGGCTGCCTAAGCTTTCTTCGGTCCGGGCAACATGTGTAACGTGGAAAAACGAAGCTTCCCATAATGCAAACGTGCACACGCGCCGCACTTGCAGGGAGAGGAAGCCGAGAACTACATTTCCCAAATGGCATTGGGGCCGAAAGTCTCATGTGCGTCCCCTCCCCCTCCATGATTTCTAAGCGGAGGTAAACAAACTGTGAAAGAGGCAGTATCTGCTGCAGAAGGCGGAGAAAGCGATAGATCTTTGGGGAGAGGGCTTGCACGATGGATGCAGGGGCAGCATCGAGATAGAGGAGGCGAAAAGTGTGGGTCCACGGAGGAAAGGGGCAATAGGGGGCAGAATGCAGGACTAGATTAAGAAGAGGTTAGAGGACAGAATAAATGTTTGGGGCACCGAGAAAAGGGTATGAAGCTGGGTCGGGCGCAGTGCTAGAGATTTAAAGGAGAAGAAGACGAATAGCCAAGACCAAAGGGGATACAATCGGGACTAGGAGTTGTGGGAAAGGTCTCTGTTAGTGCCTAGAGGTAAAGGAAAGAGATCTTTTTGAAGTAGGATGTGGCCATGAGTCAGGGTAACTGCTGCAGTAGTTGTTCAATTCTTCTTTACGCCTCACTGATTAACTTCGTAGAAGCAGGACGAGAGGCACCCTTTCTCCAAGTTACTCGTTTCCTACCTTATTCTTTTTCTCTATTGGAAAAATCAGAGAACTAAGGTCTATTTCACCCATAGTGCCAGGGCAAGGCAGCAAAGTCCCCTTCACAATTGTTCGGGGAAAGGTCTCATCCATCCCAAGGGCTATGGAGCGTGTAGAGATGATCAACATCCAGCGCCTTTTGGAAGCAGCCGAATACCTGGATCGCAGAGACCAAGGTAACACCTTTCGAGGAAAGAGCAGGAATTGAGGTGGCCCACCTTCCAATTTAACTTGTTTTGAAAGAAGCAGTTGCCTGGGGAGAGGGGAAAAAACAGGGCCAAAGAGATTCACATGTAATAGATGGAGAAATGTGAGCAGAGTGGCAGAATTTCTTTGAACGTGCTCTGGATTTGATAAAGAAGTTTTGATACAGACATTAAAGTTGTCTTGGAAATACATTGGAGAACCGATTTGGGGTAGTGCTTAATGTAACTAGTATACAAACTGGGAGACTAACTTCTAGTGCTGCCTTAGACATGAAATCAGTTTGCTGACTTTGGGTCATTCACTCTTTCTCAGCCTTAGGAAGAAGGCAATGGGAAACCACTTCTGAAAAAGAGAGAAAACTGCATGCAGGACTGCATGCAGGACCAGGATTGACTGAAAGGGATTTGGACTCTAAGCTAATCAGCCTTATATGAAACAGGTGCATTGCCTGTGGTTTTTATGTCTGAGTGTTCTCACATTTGTTTAAAGCTGAGAGTGCTCCCTGAGAAGGTATTCAGGGTTCTGCTGGTGTTGTCTTTGGAAAATACTGTTTCTTACTCACTGTTCCTTCTGTTTCCATTTGATCATAATTTATGCAGAGTGTGAACATGGGTATGCGTCAGCCTTCCCTTCCATGACAAGTCTTGGGCTGCAGGACCCAAAGCCACTGCAGAGACTGAGCCGGTCACGAAAGCATAGCAGCGGAGGCAACAGCACAGGCACCACAAACAGGTAACAGTCTGAAAGTCATTTGAAAAGGGGAGGTTGTTAGAATATATAGGCACAATATTTCATGCATCCATCAGAGAGAATAGGTTATATTTTATTTTTCACTTTTGCTGGAGTTCCCCTTTCTTCATTATCTTGCTTCCCCAGCCCTTGATGATCTGCAAGTTTGTGGCTTTTAATAGAAGAATTGACCAATGTGGTATTGTGTTAGCTGCCTCTTTAAATCTTGCAGAACCAGCTTGTTAGCTGAGTATGTAATGCCTTGTTCCTGCAGGTTCCCCACGCTCATTTTATGTAACTTGCATCATCATCGAAAGCTTTCCCAAGTAGCTGATTTTACTCTAGAGAGACTAATATTAATCTAGGGGAAAATCCTTTGCATTTTTATTCTGAAATGTATCCCACTGTATTCAGTGGAGCTATGGGGATTCCCCACCCCTTTGCTCAGGTATGTATGCTAAGTCTGTAGTTTATAAATATTTTCACTTAGCAAAAAGAGACTTGGAGTTTTAGATCAAGTCATATTTGCTTGAACACCATTTGAAGATGTTGTTTTACAAAGTATTTTTTTGTGCAGACTTTTTTATTTTTGGCATAATTTATAATCTGATGGAGTATGAAACCTCACATTGAATAGTGTATTAGTCTGATAATAGAATCTGCTTTTCTATCCCTCATGGGGCATGTTCTATGTATGTAATAATATCAGGTTAACAAACCAATTGATGGAAAGTGTGAGCAAAATAATTGCAATAAAATAGAGTTGTGTTCCAGGAGAGAAATATATTTTGTAGATTTGCAGACTGTTTTATGCAAAAAGCTCATCTACTTGATTACAGCAACAATATTTTCCAAAGATACAATCTTTCTAGTGCTCTCTGTTGGCGATATATGAGCCATTTTAATCAAATATGACTCCACCTTCTGAACAATAGGCACTTGTTTACTTATTTAAATGTAATTTAGAGAATTTACTAAAAATCATTGTTGCATAAACACAATAATATTAAAACTAAATGATGTCTTCAAAATTAGTCATCTCTAATACTGCAGTGCCATACTTGTAATATCTGTAGTGATGACATTTCAACTGCATGCCATGTCAAATGAAACAAAACAAAAAGTCACACAGCTTCATGTACTTCCACAGATAGGGTTTTACTCTTTTCTTTTTGTGTGTGCATGTCTTACAGTGATTGTTTTAATGTAAATGTTATTGTAACAATAAACAAGTATTGTAAATAAACAAATGTGGATAGAAGAAGCAACATTTGAAGTTCCATTTATAAAGCCAATTAATTTTAATTTATTTATTAAAACATTTTTATGCTGGCTATATCACCAGGCTCAGGGTAGTATGCAAAAGCAAAATATCATTAAAACATATAGAGCCTGACACAATATAATGTGACACACCCCCCCCAAAAAAGAACATATAGAAATGTGTAAAAGCATGTAACAATAATAATGGCAGCCAAGTCGCCATTCATCAAACCTTTTCCTGCCTTGTGAGATGTAGAGAAGGAGACCAGGCCTCTTTAGCCCAGGAGCTATACTGTTTTAAAATCATTAGGGCTGTTATAGAGAAAGTCATCTTTCTGCTCCACAACTTTTGTACCTCCCTTGCAGGGAGGCAGGAGTTTAAGGAGGCCCTGACATAACAGGCTGAATCATTTGGGAAAAGATGGACCCTGATATAGTTCAGAGCCATTCTGTAAAAGGTCTTACAGGTAAAAAGTAGCATTATTGAAAGTCTATTGGTAACCAGTGTAGCCATCAAAATTTGGTATTATGTTGTAGTAGTAAGTTTCATTTGCCACTAGCTTGCTTGTTGCATTCTGCACCACTGGTAATTTCTGAGTTGTCTTCAAAAGCCACCCCATCTAGAGTTTACTGCATAGTCATGCCATGTGATCATGCTAGCATGGGTTACTTCTGTCAGAGCTTCCTGGTCTCTTTTACAACCAGAGTTACAACTAGTGCATCAGTTTAGGCTGAGTGAAGCTTTAAATAAATACTGCTATTAATTGGATAGTATAACTGCTACATTATTTATTTTGTGTAAATGTATATAAATAGTATTCATTCTTTAGCCAAAAAGTCTCACAGGGGAGTTTATGTGGATCAGTATTACATATGTAACAGTTCTGATATTTAAGTGTTTTAAAAGCAAGACACAAAGAAGCATATATAGAGCAAACGAAAGAAAAACTGGGACTCTGTTCTCAAAAATGCTTATAACAATCACCCAAGAGAAATATTTCAGGTAACTTGGTAGAATTGCTATCCTTGGCACAACTTTGGTTTGTACCTTTGCGGGAAATAAAATTTTACAGAGTCCATTTATAATAGGATGTGTGTTCCTGCCATTCATGATGACCCATGGAAGTCTTCTTTCAGTATATTTTTCCACTGTCTGGTCTGCTGGTGCTAGGTTTATTGGTGAGACAATATGTGGTCTGTACATTTTGGTTGCAAAATATATGCTTCAAAGAATTTGATATACAATTGTGTTAATTTTGACTAAGTTTAGAATAAAAGTAACAGAACCCAGTGGCAACAGCTGAATTCTGGGACTAGAGGCACTAACCCATATTTATTTTTTATTTTATTTTAAAAAATTATCCGTCAATAGCAGCAGCTTTTAATTATATGTAATAATACACTATTATAGTAAATAGAAGCAAACAATAAAACAATTAAAAGAATCAACAACTAAAACAGTGGTGATAAACTTGTTAAAGTATCACAAAACAGAACCGAGGAAAATTCAGAACTTCATAAAGTCATTTAGATATGACAAGAATATATTTTATCATTTCTGTTAAATCGTGTTTTTTTGACAAGGAAGACAACAACAAATGGTGAAATAATAATTTGCAGTTCTGGAATTAACAGTTATAGTTATCTTATTTGCTCTTTTCCTGTTTGGCTTATTTACTATGACTACATGAGTTGAGAAGGGACAATTTTTTTCAGAAATTCTTTTGTCTTTCTATCATAATTTGCACATTGCTGAGGGCAGTTGAAATTTACTATTCTTATTTTGATTTTTTTATCCTAAATCACTTCAAGTAGTTTTCCACTAGCTAGTCTCTGATACTAAAACTGAATACAGTATACATCGGAGCCAGTTTTTGAAGTGATATAAAATAGGCAGGGGGCATGCAAGATCTTTTTAGCTAGTTAGAGTAAAGCACCATAATCTCCTTTTCTTGCTCAGTTTTTAATTGCTTCAATTGGATTTATATGGGAGTAAAGTCTGGTAGATTGCAGTCTCAGTAGCTCTTCCATAGCCAAAGAATTGTTGCATCGCAGGAAATAAAAAAACTCCACATGTACGCAAACTGATGCTTTTCCAATGTATAATCAGGGTTAATGAAATTTAAATGGGCTGTTGTGTAATCCAACGATTTAACTGGGTTCAGAAAAGGACACAACAAATTGAGGATAAGAACATTGACAGCTATTAGTAGAAACAGGAGGTACAACCTCATGCCCAGATATATGCAAAAAATGGAAGCATGCAACTCAGAGTGAATTGCACTCGGCAGATCTGGGATAGTTGTAAAGTTCCTTCAAAACTTCGCAATAATGAAGTGCTAAATCAATGTAGCATTACAATATTTGAGGTAATAATTTTGACTAATCATGTTCTAAATGTATTTTGTTTTATTTTTTTCTAATAATTTATAGTGGTTGAGTCCATAGATGTTTTTCAAGAATGGCAAAAAATAAAAAGTCTGGATAAAGAATTGAAGGGTTTTGTGTGGGGGGTATATGCATGTGTGTATGTCTTAATTCTTAATGTTACTGTTTCTAATATTCAAAGCACCTTGAAATTTTAGTTTTAGTTTTTTTATTTATGCATTTCTTATTTGCCTTTCAAAATCATAGTCTTAAAGCAAACTACAATATAAAATTGTAACATTTAGAAATTATAACTATACCTTAAAATGTATAATGTTTAACAATAAACAAATAAAAAATAAGACCATAGAATCTATTCAATTAAAAACCAGAAAGAATAAATAAGCATATATAAAAATAAGTCCAGTTTTAACTAATAGCATTTCTTTTGAATTTAAGATTAATGATAATTTCAAACATGGTTCCCTCTCTAATTGGTGGACCAATAAGTAGATCCTTTAGTTGGTCTGGGAGAGGTAGTTGGTCTGCGGAAGAGGAAATAGAAGCAGAAAAGGAAGAGCTGCTAGTGATATAGGAGGAGTTAAAAACAAAGAAGGCAAAGAGCCATTAATAACAAAAAAAGATTTTCTACCTCTTAGCAGAGGGAGAGAAAGGCAAGTTCTTTCATTACTCCTTTCCTCCCAGCAAAAGGGGTCAAAATTGCTCTAATGGCACCAAAAATTGGAGTGATTTTCTCTTCTTTGTGGTGGTGAGGATGCATGCTTATGGCTCTCTTTTCTGCCTGAAAAAAAGGTCAAAACTGTATTTGGTTGCCATTAGTGAAAATAGAGCAATTTTGAGTATGAGGGAGGTATTTGTACATGGGGTGCATGAGATAGGGATATGTGTGTGTGTGTGTGTTTGTGTGTGTGTATACATATATACAGATAGATAGATAGATAGATAGATAGATAGATAGATAGATAGATAGATAGATAGATAGATAGATAGATAGATAGATAGATAGATAGATAGATTGATATTGATATTGATATTGATATTGATATATTGGCAGCCATTTTGTGCTCAAGTCTTTCACATTTCATCAAAATCCAGATATGCCCATAAATCTGAACGTTGAATGCCCTGGATTTCAATGTAAACATCAGCTTTGAATTCCAGATTGCTTTTGGGGATTAAAAGTAATTTGGGAAAGGGACAACTTCTCCTTTATTATCCAGCAAGGATGTGACACCTTTTGCCAGCCCAGGACTAGCAAATATTTTTAAAGGACAGAGGTGGAAATGATACTTATAATGTTAAATATACTTACGCAGATGTAACATTGTAAAGTAGAACATTTAATCCTGTTA